CCTCATCATCATCCTACTCCTCCTCCTCCTCCTCCTCCTCCTCCTCCTCCTCCTCCGCCTCCTCCTCCTCCTCCTCCTCCTCCCCCTCGGGGAGACAAAAGCTTCCCCCCCCCCCTCTCGTTGCCCCGCCGCGTGTTCCCGCGTTCCCTCGCTCCGGGCAGGGAAAGCTTGGGGGGGTAGGCCACCGCGGGGCCCGCGAAGCGCTGACAGCCCGTGCGCCGAGGCGTGGACACGGCTGTGGCCTCTCGCCCAGGCGCGCTGCTCGTCCCGCGCTGCGAAGCCGCGTGCGCAGAGGCCCGGCAGACCAAGATGTTCGCAGCCTGCGCCGCCTGCTCGGTGCGCTTCCCAGAAAGGGGCGTCGGCAAAGGGGGGCCTCTGAGACCGCGGCGGTGCACCCAAGACCTGCGCCTCCTCCCCCTCCTCTTCCACCTCTTCCTCCTCTCCTTCCCCCCCCTCCTCCTCCTCCTCCTCCTCCTCCTCCTCCTCCTCCTCCTCCTCCTCCTCCTCCTCGTCGCCCTCTACGGAGTCTTGTTTATTCTCCCCCTCCGCGTTGCCTTCATGGCGCGCGACACCGAGACTTGAGATGTCGGCTTGAGATATCGACAAGTCCCTTTCCCTGGGGTCCCAGTTGGAAACGTGTGACCGTTTCCCGCCGCTCGTCTTGAGGGGAGCTGCTTCCACAGTGACAGAGTGCTTGCCAAACAAACGGTGGTGAGCCATTGCACGTTCGAGGTGTAAACCATGTGCAGCGGCAATTAGGCGGCAACTAACGGGCGGCTGCGTGGCGGACCTCGGCGGACCTCGACAAACCCCCCGAGGCGGCAACGGGCAGCAATGGGCGACACCGTGGCAAATCTTCGACATACCAACCGATTCCTTCGGGAGACAAGTAAGAAGCCATGAGTGCAATCATCGTTAATCACATGCACCGATCCTGGTCTGGCCCACGCTGAGCCAAGGGTCGGTGCATATGCCCTCATTGCTTGTCCAGGGAGGCATATGCCTCGACCCTGAGTCCTGCATGGGCCTGGACATGGTCGGTGTATTTGTGCAGTTACCTTCGCCCAACACTAAGGTGCATCATCATCATCTTGCCACTGAACAGTGATCGATTGCCACCGCTGGCTGCTCTCCAATGGCGTGTCGGTGGAAGAAGCTTGGGTGAGGCAAGGGAGCCTCGCTGGTCCCTTCTCGCCTCTCAGACGATGACAGGATGACGACAAGCTCGGATTGAACTACCCGTGGATCTCGAAGAGTCGGCGGGCTCGGTGGATGTGTCTAGCGCCGCGGCCGTTCCCAAGCGCGCTGGAGCGCTCTGAGAATGGTCCAGAACACCCTGGAACTGTTTAACCTCATATCTGGCCTACCTGAGCGTCGCCTTGCCTTGCCTCAATCCCAGCTGCCGCCGCCGTTTCCTGAGATGCAAACATTGCAGCATCACAACACATCGCGACCCGAACCACAGACCCCTATCCTTCTGCAGCATTTTCCGAGCCGAACCGATCCGTGCGAAACTGTGTAAAAGTGCCGTGCGGGAAGAACTTGCAACGCCCGGATCTCGCGGGTGAGAGATCGCCCGCGACCTTCGGCGGAGACCCGCAAAACTCCTCCCCCCGGACCTCCTCGTGGATGGACCATGGATATCACCGCCGCCCTTGTCAGAGAAGGGAGCCCCCAGGGCCTGAGACCCCCTGGGCGCATCCCTTACCGAACGCCACCACGGTACCGTTGCCTCCACTCGCTCCCTGTCGTTGCGCGCTGGCTTTCGGGCCCGAGCTCGGCTCTCCGGCGGCCGCTCGGGACGATCCGGCCACCCCCGCAGAGCCCGCGGCGAGGCACAGCCGCTGGGAGGCATCCCGAGGCTGGCAAACTCGCCGAGAACCGACGAGAACGCATGAGCACCTCGAGCCTTGAACACGAAACGTTGTCGCAACTCGCCATCCCCTGCTTGGCGGCGCGCACAAGGGGATACGGGGGAGGCGAGGGCTTATTCAGAAGGATGCCGCTTCTTAGAAAGCGCGGGCCCTCCATCTGTAGACAAGGCTCGCACCTTCTAAGAAGCAGGGGTGTCTCTAAGAAGCCATCCCCCCTCCCCCTACCCCCCTCTGCTCGGGGAGACGTAAGACTCGGGCTCGGGGAACTCGGGTCGGCCGGACGGGGCATCATGAAAATGACGAGACCCAGTCTTCGACGCGCGCCCCCGTTCAAGGCGTCCCCCGAAAACTGGGCCGCCAAAATCCAGGACGCGCCCGTCAAGGAGCGCCAGCAGGCCCGAGCTCAGGCGTACTCGGGCCTCGCGCTGCCCCGAGAGGAGGGGCCCGGGGAGACGTGGAGCCGGCTGGGGGTCTGAAGCTGCCCAGCCTTGGCCCCCGGCAGGCTGGAAGGGAAGGGGAGCAGGTTCGAAGTTCTGGGCTCGGGCAGGTGTTTGCTGTTGCGCGTGGCCTCGTGGATGCCATGACAGTGGACCCCCGAACAATCCTGTCGTCGACCTCAAACATGTGTTCACCCTGTCGGAACGCATGTTCTAAACATGTTTAAGGCATGTTTGAAGCATGTTCTAGACAGCTGGAAATTATTTGGCAACATGCTGCCTCTACCTTGACCGACCTGCAGACACCCCGAGCCGACCTGCAGACACCCCGAGCCGACCTCCACAAGCGTGGCCGACCTGCAGACACCCCGAGCCCCCACGGAGGCACCACGCGCTGTGGCCACCGTGCCGCTCAGGGGGGCCCTTGGTCCTACCCTTTGGGTCGGGCGCGTCCCCCTACAGGACGATTTTGGAAGAGAAGCCAGAAAGACTCAACGAACAAAACTTCACGGACGGTCAGCACAGAATCGACAGATCGTCCCCTGGCTGTTTTGTCGGGCCTATTCTTGCACACTTCCTCCTGCAGAGGGACAGGCCCGACATAGTCCTGCGCCCGCTCGGGCAGCACGCCTCGGAGGTTGGCCTGGTGGAGGCCACGGCGGTCCTCCCGCCCGTCCCAGGTCTGCGCGGAGTCGGCCCCCGGGGCAAGACGAAGCCAGGACAGGGAGGAATTCCCAGGGGTCCCTGCGCTGGCCTTGCAAACGTGCTGCAGCGGAGTCTTGCGTGGATCTCTGTCGGGACAAAACCCCGACACGGCGAGCGAAAAACGAGGTGAACTTCACGTGGGTTCTTTTAGTCTTCATTCCTGGCCAAAAAGCGCCGCACGAAATTCACCTGGAAATCCGGAACGAAATTCTCCAGGACACTCCGGGCCCATCCTATGGTTTTCCGAACGAAATCCGCTCTGTGATGTTGGCGCCGTGAGATCTGACCTCCGAAAATGTTGGAGCAGTTTGATTTTCTGCCGTTTTCGGCTCCCAGGGGGCCTCGCCAGACCTCGGGGCCGTCGCCAGACCTCGGGGCCGTCGCCAGTGTTGCGCGGGGTCAGACTTTTGTGTTGGCAGTCGCCAGTTTCGGCGCGAGCATTCACACGTTGGGGTCCTGGGGCGCCGCCACGTCGCGGAACAAAAATGCGATTGACTTCGAGGAGGGATGCAGGACGAGGATACATTCGGACAAGGACAGGTCGCAAATCTCTGAGATACGGTGGCTCTGGAGGATATATCGGGCGCCGCGGCCTTCCCAGAGCGTTTCGGAACGCTCTCAGAGCGTTCCAGAACGCCCTGGAACGGATTGACCCTTGTCCCAGCCCCGACCGATGGGGTGCCCTCGCAGGATCCATCTTGACCCAGAGCCCCTCGCGTCATGAGAAAAATGCGACGGAGGCTGTTACCCTCTTTGCAAGTTTCGGTCTTTGGGCGAAACACCGGCCACATGGGGCAAGGGGCCCAGACCTCCGGGGGCCGCGTCTTGAGCACGCGGAAGCGTCGCAGGTCTGGGCCCCGGGACCGCCCGGGCGCACGCTTCGGGGCAGCTCTGGCTGTGGCGACGAGAAGCCTCCACAGGGCCCCGAGGAGGACGACAGGAGCTGGGGCCCTCCTCCGAAGACGGCCACGGGGGGATCGGGACCCTTCCAGCGGGAGGGTCGGCCGTCGTGCGGGGGACTCCGGCCGTCCCTGCCTTGCGGGGCAACGTTCTCGTTCTTGCAGGGGGGGCGTTGCCAGGGAGGGGAACATCGAGCTGGAATCGGTTTTCATCACACCTGTTCGGAGTTCTTATCACAGCTTTGATCACACGTTATTGTAGGGGGGACTTGCCCAGGGAGGGGAACAATCGAGCTGGAATCGGAGGTACATCGCCCACAGATCGGCGATAGGCCCTCGGCTGCGAATCCGCACGGTCCTGGGCGGCGTGCGCTATCGGGGCCCTTGTCGGTGATGGATTGGCGATGGGGTGTCGATGCCTCTCGGGGAATAAGCAACAAAATTCGTAGGTCCGTGCGAATTTCTCGGATCGGCGCCAGACCCCCTCCCTGGCTCGTGGAGCGCGCCAGGGGCACCGCCAGGGGGGCCCCAGCGCCGATTCGTGAAATCCGCGCGGACCTCCGAAAGTTTACGCTTATGCCATTGCTTGTTCCCCGACATTCGTTAAGTCGGGCCTGTCCTCCTACAGGGGAATTTTGGACGACAAATCAGAAATATTCGAAATTCCCCCAAATGGTTAAAACATGCTCAAAAAATCGTCCCCATACTATTTCTGGACTATTCTTGAATATTCCTCCTGTCGAGGGACAGGCCCGACTTAAGGCTGTCGGCGATGGATGTGCGACTGGGGGTCGACGCGTCCTCCCCTGAGCCTACCCCACCCCTTCACGTTGCCCGTTGATGGCTCTCCCCCGCCCTGAGCCGACACGGTGAGGGCATGGGATGAGGAACCCTTCGATGAGGAATCCAAGCTCTGGAAGCCAGTGGGACTCCAATCGTGGACCGGCCATGGAGATCACCGCCGCCCGCATTGGATAAGGAATCCTCCAGGGTCTGGCGCCTCCTGGGACTACTCCTTACCAAACGCCCCCACCGTACCCCCTCGCGCTGCCCCGGATGGCTCTCTCCCCCCTGCCCGTGCTCGCCTGCCCCACGGCGAGTTCGGGGAAGAGCGCGCAGAACTCGGGGCTGCTGCGGTTGAACTCCTGGCACGGGGGGGAGCCCGGGCCGAGGCCCGAACGGACCCACCAGGGGGCGGGAAGCGGAGGCAAGGGACGCCCAAGTCCGGGTCAAATTGAACACACTCAAGCTGGACGATCAAAGCACGCCGGTGCAGCTTGTTGTCGGCATCGGGCTAACGTTTTGTCCTCTGCGGGGCGCTTCTGAGCCAAACAGACCACTGACGATGTGCATGCAGAAGGGCATGGGAGCATTGACTCAACACGTGCGCAAGAAGTCAGGATGGACCACGGCGAGGGCGAGATCGACCCAAACTCACACCTTGAAAGCTGAAGCACGAACACAACCTTTAGGGACGTCGTGCACACAGCTTAGCAATCATCTGGGGCCGATCCCTGAGCTGCCCTGCCTCTGAAGCCAACGCCTTCGAAATTCGAACGGATTGTAATACAGCAGGGAACAACACAAACGTACTCTGGTCATCCTCACGAGAACCCGACGCCAAGAGCCGCAAACAAAACACCTCGCCACTAGAGGAGCAACACACAGCTGCAGAAACATGAACTGTCTGAGATCCACTCGAACCTCCGAACATCTATGTTCGTGCAAGTTGTTCTTCTTCGAACCACGGCGGTGTACTTTCGGCGCGATATCGGACCCCCCCCAACAGGCTCCGCGGATGTGGCCGCCAGCCTCTGGCGCACCTCTGGGGGCTCGAGCATGGCCCCGATGCTTCTCGTCTCCCGCTCGTCGACCATGAACGAGATGAGGCCCACCAGGATGGACTCCACTGTCCTGAGTGGCCCCGGATCTACGATGCTTCTTTTCTCAGAATAGGCTTGCACTATAGGAGTCCAAATTCAAATCCTACTAATTGGTCCGTTCCCCCCCCCCTAATTCTTATGCCCCCACCCCCTAATTCCTATGGCTATGGCTATGGCTATGCCTATGCCTCCCCCTTAACTCCTATGCCTACGCCTACGCCTTCGCCTGTGCCTATGCCTATGCTTGCTTGCGCTTGCTTGCTTCCGCTTGCTTGCATGCGGTTGCTTGATGATGCTCCTCCCGTTCTCCTCCCGTCCTGCTCCCGTCCTCCGTTCGTCCTCCTCCCATCCTCCTCTCGTCCTCCTGTCCTCCTATGTATTTGGAGTCAACGCTGGCTGATACTCTCCAACTAGGCTTGCCATATAGGAGTTCTAACTCAAACCCTACTTATTGGTCCGTTGCCCCCCCCTAATTCCTATGCCCCCCCCCCAATTTCTATGGCTATGCCTATGCCTATGCCTCCCCCTAACTCCTATGCCTACGCTTACGCCTATGCCTATGCCTATGCACCACCTCTGAGCGCTCATATGCCTATGCCTATGCCTATGCCTATGCCCTGCTTGCCCTTGCTTACTTGTCCTTGCTTGCTCTTGCGTGCTCGTGCTTGCTTGCTCTTGCGATCTTGCCATTAATTGCTTGCTATTGCTTGCCCTTGCTTGCTTGCCCTTGATCGCTGGCTCTTGCTTGCTTGTTATTGCTCGCTTGCGCTTGCTTGCTTCAGCTTGCTTGCTTGCGCTTGCTTGATGTTGCTCCTCCCGTCCTCCTCCCGTTCTGCTCCCGTTCTCCGTTCGTCCTCCTCCCATCCTCCTCTCGTCCTCTTCCTGTCCTCCTATCTATTTGGAATCAACGCTGGCTGATCGGCGGATGCCATGGACGTCCAGAAGACCTGTCGTCTGAGATGGGTACGTAATTCGTTTACTCTCGAGGCGTTCCGAACCGCCTCACCGCCGATGGTGATCCCACCTCAGAGCAAGTATATTAAATCTCGGCACTGCAGCGCGCATCCTGTGCTTTTTGATCTGGTTGGACGACGCACTTAAAGTGGGCTTGGTACAGCGGGGGGTGCAAATAAGCTCACGTAGCTGATTATCCTGGTGCCTCCCGGCTCGAGGCGCCCACGTAAGTATCGATGAACGCGCCCCGCGGCGGGGTCGAAGCTGGCTGTGCGCAGTAGATTTCGCACCCCCCCCCCCCTCTCCGCCCACCCCCCCTCGTCGTCTGGCTTCGGTCATATAACTCGGGACTCCAGCGGCTGACCAGAAGGATCCTAGCACCCCCGGGACGCTCTCGGCGAGGCGCAGTTAATGGAGAGCACCCCGAGGCTGGAGACCCGTCGAGAACCGCCGAGAAAACGCACCGCCAACCCCGACCCATTTCGTCCGACCGGATCCCCCGCGCGCCCCTCCGCACTCGGGTCCGCCGCGGGGTCCGCCGCAGGGGTCCGCCGAGGCTGATCATTGACCGCCGGAGGAGGAGGAGGAGGAGGAGGAGGAGGAGGAGGAGGAGGAGGAGGGCTTCCATATACGCCCAACCAACCCGAGCATCCGGCCCGGCCGGCGGGAGTTCGCTGGCCCCCCCGACCAGTGGAGAGGAGGCGGCTAGCACCGCGTGCGCCCGCGTGGCGGCGATCTGCACGGCAGGGATTGAAGCTCCCCAGAGATCCGACGCTCCGAAAAAATTAGAGTGGTTTTTGGCCGTTTTCGCCTCCAGGGGCCCTCGCTGGGCCTCGGGACCGTCAGAAAACGACTCGGGACGAAAAGGCGGCCCCACAGGGCAGTGGTCCAGACCTCTTGGGCCCATGCATCGAAAAAGTTTGAGCAGTCGGATGTCTGGGTCACTCGGCAGCAAGTCTGGATCGGACTGGTCAGCATCGAGTCGGGGCGTCGGCTGGGGTCGGAGGGTGCGCCCGAGCCGAACCGGACCCGCTGCGCCGGGATGCACAGCTGTGTCTCGCAGGCGTTGGGCCGCACCAGCTTGCCGGAAAGCTGAGATCGGATCGGATCGAAATGTCTGGCATCGGCATCGAGCCACCGGATCGAGAGGGGCTGTGACGGGCTGTGACCGTGTGGGCTTCTGGGGGAAGAAGCTGTACAATGATCTCCCAAACCCACTCACTGGACAACGAGCCGTGAACCTCCGCGAGCGGATGCGCGGCAAAACACTCCGTACACGCCGATCCAACATCCGATGTTGCTGGGCCCGCTTCCGGAATTTCTGAACCCAAAAATGTTGACATCTCTTGGGGGCATATCTAACTCCCGCTGGCCTTCCGCCAACTTTCGCCAGCGGAGGCGGCCTCGTTTTACTTTCGCCGCCTTGCACCGTGCTCCCACCAGCTGCCGCTGGGGAAGAGATGCCAACTCCTTCGATCCCTCGATGGCGAAACCCATCCTAGAGCGCGCCAGATAGGGAATTGCGGCGAATGCTCGAAGAGATCGTGCCGCGTCGATCACGCCTCGACGACACCGCGCACGTCGGGCGCATCCGACCCGGCTATGTCGCGTTCGCGGCGCACTCCACCACCGAGCGCCCGCGCGCGCACTCAGGACCTGCGGGGGAGGGGGGAGATGAGGGGGAACGTCTCCTCTCCCTCCGAACCCTCCTCCTCCTCCTCCTCCTCCTCCTCCTCCTCGTCTTCCTCCTCCTCCTCCTTCTTCTCCTCCTCCCCCCACCTCCTCCTCCTCCAGCTCCCTCCTCCACCTGCCTCATCCTCTGCCTCCTCCTCCTCCTCTTCCTTCTCCTCATCCTTATCCCTCCTCCTCTTCCCCTCCTCCTCCTCCTCCTCCTCCTCCTCCTCCTCCTCCGCCCTCCCTCCTCCCCCTCCCCTTCTTCGCGCCTCCCTACTCCGCTCCTCCCTCTCCTCCTCTCCTCATCCTCCCTCCTTTGCTCTTCTCTTCTCTTCTCTTCCCCCCTCCTCCACCTCCTCCCTCCTCCTCCTTTTTCCTCCTCCCCACTCCTCATCCCTCCTCCTCGTCCTCCTCCTCCTCCTCACGCTCCTCACCATCCTCCTGCTCCTCCTCCTCCTCCTCCTCCTCCTCCTCCTCCTCCTCCGCCTCACCCCTCACCCTCCTTACCATCCTCCTCCTCCTCCGCCTCCTCCTCCTGTTTCTTCTCCTTTCTCTCCTCCCCTAGACGCGTTGGCAGGGTGGGCCAGGCGTTCCGCCTGAGACTCCCTCACCGTTTATGGCCCCGCAAGCCTGAAAGTTGCAGCGGCTTCACGGAAGGAGGCCGCCTCCTCCGCCCAGGACCCGCGCTTCCCTCAGACCGCGCACGTCGGAGCCCAACTCCTGGTGGCTGGGGGGCCCCCCCTGGCGTCCACGCGGGGTTCCAACTCTCGGGGTGGAAGTCCGTCATGCTGATGCACAGCCTCTTGTTCACCTCGCGTCCGCCCGCCCAGGGGTCAGCAGGACGAGAGAGGGATTTCTGGATTGTGCATCTGATTCAATCGCCTTCTGGTCCGGTTTGGAAGAAATCGGCACTCAACTCGCCAAAGAAAGGCTGGTCTGCTCCCCAAGCAGTGTTCGGCACGGGCGCCCAAGTAGTGCTGGCAGTCGCCGCTGGCTTCGTGGCACGGAGAAGGACAATACACACGCAATGCGACAGCTGGCTGCGAGCAGCGCGAGCATCATGTGGCTGTGAAGGAGGGAGGGGCGGGGGCCTCGTGGCATCATCTGTGCCCATCCAGGGGTCGAAGAAGTGAGCTGGTGGGCTTGGCGGCCGAACGCGGGGCTCACGAGCCTAGCCTTAGGCTTGGCAGGCTCGATCTGCACTATGGCTGTCTTCAAGATTCAATGCTGGGCGATCTGCTGCCACGTCACCTGCCAAACGGCCTCGACTGTACACATTCATGCGGTATTGGAAGGTTGCACAAGGAAGGCAAGCCGACAATGCGGACTGCTGCCGTTTCAACACGCAGCTTCACAATAACGTAAAGCCTGTAAGGATGACGGGGAGGAGGAGGCGGATGAGGATGACGTTTCGAGCGTTGCTCCCGCGGCTGGACCAAGAGATCAGCAGAGAAAGAGGACGAGGAGGGACCCAGGGCAAACTCAATGAATCGACGATGCGGCAATACACTCTCTCCTCCCAAGTCCCCTCCTCACTAGTCCCTGCACGGATTTTCTGAACTGCCTCCAGCCTTCGAGCTAGAGAAGATACGACAAAGCGTTTTCTTCGAAACAAATTAGTCATGCCAAAAAAACGGCAATCCCGCTGTGAAAAAGAGCCACCCTGCATCCGCACAGCTGCTGCACAATGTCAAACGTCTTGTCGTAAACTCCAACGAAGTCACAAGCGAGAGCCCTATTTTGAAAAGGAACCGCCTGCCATCCACAGTAGCATCGCCAACTGTCGCACTTGTGGCCGTTTTTTGAGGGAGGCTCAAGCGGGAACCCCATTTTGAAAACGCGCCGCCCTCCATCCCTACGTGATTTGTTTGAAGTTCCTGTAAAAACATCCTCATTCAGTGGCTTTTGATAATCTCTAGTGCCTCCTCATGCCCTCCCTCTAGAAGCACCGAAAGCAACCAAACACAAACACAAACCATTTCAGTACACTGCAACGCAAGTGAGAGTCAGAAAGCAATCATCCAAAGCCGCAAACCACTACAATCGCACATGAACAACATAGCAGCACCACTGAAAACCACTACAAGCATGAAGCGCGTAGACGTCAGATAAATCTTCACAAGTGTGTCAAACTCAGCTTCAAGACGTACTTACTGAACCAGATGTGCATGCTTCGTACCAATTTGCAATTGTGGTTATACGTTTCCTCGAAAGGGATGCGACAACCCCATGTTGATAACTTGCCAGCCCCCGTCCGCGTCACTGCTAGCATATCTTACGGCGAATGCGTGCGGCAATAAGGCGAGAACCACATTTTGAAAACGACGGGCCCTCCGTCCGTGCAACTGCAGGAAATCTAAAGGCTTGGGTCAATACGACGTGACGAGATATCAAGCGAACCGCCCAGCCCAGCCTACGGACATGTCTGGTGGTGCGACCAAGGAGAAGCACTTACACCGAAGAGGGACTGAGGAGAGGAGCGAAAGAGAGATAGAGGAAGAGGAATAGGGAGGGATGGAGAAAAGCACTGACGGATGGATGGATGGATGGAGGTTCGCCTCGAACCGCCCGCTGGGGGTTAGCATCACGAGGGCCGGTGGCGACAGCGGGTACATCTTGGGAAAGATGATCTTCCCTGTGGGGGGCGGCGGTATCCGCTCGCCACCTGCTCAGCCCCATGTGCTGGGAAGGACAGGGGAACAAGAGGAGAAGCAGGAAAGTAATATAAAGATGGGAAGAAAAAGCGGGAAGGGTGCTGCTGATGATGGTGAAAGACGTAAATGGAGATGATGATGACGAACATGATGATGACTGTGATGATGATCGTGGTAATGCCCGACGATGTTATTTCCGAGGCCAGGTCGGATTCTGTTAGAGAGCAAGAGGCAGCACCGTAAACGACTCTGGGGCCGGCAAGAGAGATAATTCATCAACCGAATTTGTGCTCTGGCGCACGGCCCCACGGCCACGGCGAAGCCTTACAGCAGCAACAGGGCGGGAGGGTGGGAGCTCGAGAGCCGAAGGCTATTGAAAAGACACAACGCATGCTGCATTCGGCCTCTCCCTTCCCCGCTAAAGGCATTCATCTTCAATAGACAAGTCCATGCCCGCCGATGTTATTTCCGAGGCCAGGTCGGATTCTGTTAGACAGCAAGAGGCAGCACCGTGAACGACTCTGGGGCCGGCAAGAGAGATAATTCATCAACCGAATGTGTGCGTTAGCGCACGGCCCCACGGCCAAAACATCCCGAACTATCCGGAGAGCTACTCCTCTGTGTTAGCGGCCTAGCCAGATCGGTGTGACTGACAGAGCCTCGGAGTGCAGTCTGGCGCCGATGAGCGCGCGAGCCCATCGTCTCGCAAGCGCCTCGGGGTAGGCCTGCGCAACTAGAAGTCCACAGAGGCCTTCCTGGAGCTTCTTCCTCTTAGAATCTGATGGGGCTGACCAGTCCTACTACAACACGTACGAGAGCCCGTGCACAAACGAGCGAAGCCTGATACATCTACACGATAGCCTAGGAGACCAGTCGGCTTTTTCCACGCGGCCCCGTCTTGGCAAAAATGCGTGACAGCCCAGAAAAAGTGTGGTCGCTTTCGAAAACACTGCAGAGACGGAATGAGCCACAGCCTAGACATCGCGGGATTCTCGACTGTAAACGGGATCTGCATACGCTTACAAATTGCCATCACACTTTCACAGCACCTCACTAACCTATTGGCGGTCATAATCTGAGCTCGGTCCGCCGGGCGCGTTACGGCCGCGAGCCCCCAGAGCTCTGAGTCGGAGCGAAGGCGGCTTGGCCAGGACGGAGGCCCGCCTGGCACGCGCAGCGGCCCAGCGCCCTGGACTTTGGACCACGTCTCGCAGGGCACCCCGAAGTGCAGGCCCCAGATTAGGCCGGCGTCCAGCCAGCCCCGCAACGCCCGGGACACCTTCGGGTCACGTGAGGTCCCAGTCGGCTCCCCAGGCGATGTCTCACTCGATGACCAGGCCGCCCTCGCTCCGCAGAGCTGCCGACAGCACGCCCTCGCCAGAGAAAACCTCCACGAAGATCGGAGGCGCCGGGAAGCACCGGCGGCGGGGGGCCAGCAGCCTCCTCAGCGCCAGCCGAGGAGAGAGGCCAGCCGTGCCGGGGCCAGCGGGACCGCGCGCTGCACCCTGGGCGCCGGCCTCTGCAGCTGCTCGCTGACGCGGCCTGGCTTGGGGGGGCGCGCGACCGACGCGTCGGTCCGCAAACGGCCGCGGAGCTTGACGCTGGCCAGGGTCCGCAGCTGCAGGGCCAACTCCACCGACGGGCCCGAGTGCCGCAGCTGGTTCAGCCGCGGGGTGAGCGACGCCAGCTTGACGGCCTCCGCCGCCTCTTTGAACAGGGGGCTGACGCGCCCGAGGGTGAGCGGGAACATCGGCTCGATGGAGTGGGCCCCCGCCTTGAACCAGCTCAGAGCGCTGGGCAGGGAGCTGTAGAACGGCACGTCGTAGACCTGCGTCTTCGGCAACCCCTGGCCCCCGCGCCCGATCTGCGGCATCCTGAACTTCAGCGCCGCCAGCCGGTAGGCCATGCGCTCGGGGTTCCAACCTTCGGCGCGCCGCTGGCCCATCCAGCGCCCCAGCAGGTCGCCCGCCATCTCGGTGCGGAGGACCGCGGTCACGGACGCCATCCAGACCGCGAGATCGGCCCAGAGGCGCGTGTACTTGGCCCTCGGGGCCGCCGAGACCGAGAGGGCCCTCAGGACATGGCCCGCCGAGAAGCGAAAGGAGGCTGCCTCGGGCGTCTGCGCCGCGGCCCTCCCCGCACGCTTGGCGCCCGCCTCCGCCGGCCTCGACAGGTGGCTGCGTCTCGCCTGGCGCTAGCCTCGCTGCGAGGCCGCCGCCTGGCGGGGGCCCCCCGCCGCTGCCGGGCGCGGGGCCATCGCCACGAGCCGCGCCGGCACCAGCGCCTGCCTGTCCGGCCACCCGCGCGGCGGCCAGACTGGCGACAGCATCCCAGCGCAGCCGCGCGCCGATCCTCAGCGCCCGGCGGGAGGGCAGATCCGCCGGGTTCGCCTCCGACGGGATCCACCGCAGCGCCGCGGTGGCGCCCCCTGCCACCACGAGGGCGGCCCACTGGCGGCAAATGCGCGCCATCCTCGGCCGCGAGGAGCGGCCCTAGGTCAGAGCCAGGACGGCGACGAGAATGTCTGAGAGGGAGAGGACGCGATGGCCGTGCTGCCCGGCGTCCCGGAGGACGTGCTTCAAGGCGTGGATTAGAGCCCCCCCCTCCAAGGCTGCGACGTGCTCCCCCCTCTCCCAGGCCCCGCTCGAGATGACGACCCAGTCCCCAGAGATGTGATGAACTTCCAGAGGCTCGAAGTCGGTCTCCTGGGGCTCCACGTGGGGGCTGCCTTTGTCCATGGGGGCGATGGGCTCCTGGATGTCCGACGGTGCGATGCAGACGTGACATCTCGAGGACGGCTCGGAGTAGACGCGGGCCTCCAGGGGCTCGAGGGGCTCGATGAGCTGCCCCCGTGGCGCCCTGGCACTGGGGTCTCGGAAGCGCCAGCGCTACTGGATCCTACCCATCCTCTCCACCACGTCTCCGCTTATTTTACGCTCGCACATCCCTCGGCCCCACTCGGAGGCATCCGCGCACAGAACTCGGCCCAACCACCGGGCCCGGAGGTCGGCGTGCGCCAGCGGGACAACTCCCATGGCCCCCACCAGCTCTCGGCTCACGCTGGGCCACCAGGGCCTGGGCGCCTCGCCGGCCTTTGCGATGAAGCGGTACACGGCCGAGAAAACAGCCAGCAGCGGGCGCCTCACCATGAAGAGGAAGGTGTATACTGCCCCACGACCTGGCGCACCTGCTGAGCCGAGACCTTCGGCATGGCGAGGAGCGCACGCGTGGCCAGGATGATCCTCCAGGCTCTCCGAGGCGAAGGCGCGACTGCTCCCCGCGCGCCATCGATCACCCAGCCCAGCACCTGCGCGTGGAGCGAAGCAGGCTCCTCGTCATGTACCCGGAGGCCCTCGCTGCGCAGCTCGGCGACCATGTCATCCTTCATGCGGTCGGCGGTGTCCCCGTCGAGGGCGAGGGGCGCGAAGTTGTCGACGTGCACGAAGTGCGCGCCCGCGCCCAGACTAGGGCCGGCACGACGGTCCGCGATCCTGGACAGCACTGACAGCCCTGCGCGGTCGGCGGCCGCCTCCGACACCCGCTGGCAGATGGCCAGCGCGCGGGGCCAGCCCATGGGCAGCACCGCGAGCCGCGGCCAGAGCCGCTGCGGGTGAGGCTGCCCGGGGACGGCCTCGCGCCCAAGCCTCCAGGAGTCCAGCGGAGGGAGCGCGAAATACGGCCTCCAGGCGTCCGGCAGCTCCACGTTGTAGAAAGCGTCCGCGATGTCCGCCGAGGCGGTCCACAAGCTGGCGCCGTCCGGCAACTCGATCGCTGCCAGCGCAGCGCCGGTGGCCAGGTGGACGCCCTCGGGGTCGCCGAACCAGAAGTTGGCCGGGCGGGCGTCGACGACCAGCCGCTGCTTCCCGCTCTTCTTGGCCACGCTGAAATGGCCAACCTCGTCGACCACCAGGGCGGCGTCGCTGACGAGGTCGACCACCCCGGCCTCGTGGAGACGCCTCGCCAGCTCTGCATCGCGGCGAGGGTCTCGAAGGCTGGGGTCCGAGTACGGCTTCTTGAAGCCAACGCGCTGCTTCTGCTGCAAAACTTCGGTCTTTGGCCAGACCTTGCACGAGATATCACGATAGACGGAGTCGAAAACCTCGGCGCCCAGAAGCTGCCCCAGCGCCACAGGGTGGTTACCTGGAGGGGGCAGCGAGAGCCGGGAGACGCCCATCGCCTCTGCCCTCGTCGAGAGCGAGCCATCGTAGGACAGAGCAGCCTGGAGCTCCTGCAGGGCTGCCAAAGGCTGTGGGTCGCCTGGCGGGGGACCCAGCTGGGCGACGGAGTCCGCGATCCGCGTCAGGCAGTGCTGCTGCGCGAGCGTCGCGCCAGCCCGCGGCAGTGAGCCACCCTGCGCCCCGGCGCCGCTGAGGCCACTGAGCGCCTCGACCGCCTGCCGCGCGAGCCAGGGCGCGGACGCTGCGCGCCGAGCGCGCCGCCGCACGGCTCGAGAACAGGCGCCAGCAGCCAGCCCGCAAGGGTCGGCGGCGCCGGGCACTGGCAGCGGAAAGAGGTCTCGCTGCCGCTCTGCACCCAAGCCGTCGAATGTGCCATGTACACCCTCAGCGCCACAGGTTGTCGCCGAGACGGGCCCCGATGCCGTAGCGCCCGGGGGGGCTGGGCCACTGGGCCCCCCCGGGCATGAGAGAGTTACGCCTTGGCTCCGCTGGCTTTCGGCCCATCGGCGGCCTTCGCCTCCTCCCGCAGCTTGCGGGCGTTCTTCTTGATCTGACTGATGCGCTCGAGCTCCTTCCCGACGACGCCCGGCAGGGCGGGGCGCGCCATGCTGCTCGGGCGGCTCGACAGACCCGCGCCGCCCACGAAGGCGGAGACATCTTCCACCGGCAGCTTCAGTTGTCCAGCATCCTGCTCTCGCTGCTTCTCGTCCCAGAAGTGCTCGATCAGCTGCATCTTCCGCAGCGTCCGCTCCACGCCGAGGAGGTTCGTCACGTGGATTAGTTGTTTGTCCTAAACGGTTGGA